TTCGAATTTCCTATAAAATTAATAAAAAAATCAAAAAATTTAAGGTTTTCATCAGTCTTTTTTTATATGCAGTTTTATAGTTTCTTAAATGTTATTAAAATGCATATTCAACTTGCTTAGAACTCGCGTTGATTTTTAATATACATACATATATATATATATATTTTTTTTGGTGACGGTGGATTTTCTTCCATAACACTTGCAATTCTCAAAAATCAACGCGAATTTTGAGGCACTTTAAACTTGCACTAAAATTGAATGGACTATTCTAATGGATTCTATTCTAAAAAATTCTGAAGAACAAGTTTTAGAAATATATGAAAATTTCTTGAAGAGATTTGAAACTTTGATTTGTATGGGTTTTGTTGTGGAATTAATTATGTAAAAAAAAAAACATTCTAAACTTTTTATTTAGTTTCATTAACTTGTAAACACGTCGCACTGCTATTTTCCTGAACACTGTGTGCCAGTTACCTGAAATGCAAAATAACGTAACAACATCGTAACTGAAATGGAAAAAGTCGTGACTAATTTTTTATTTAATTTTTTTTTCATAAAACGATGTGGGGGGGTTTTAATTCGATGTAATCCATCATAGCAATCAAAAATTTAATTTTGAATTTTTTATAAGTTACGACTTTTTGCATTTCAGCGACGATGTTGTTACGTTATTTTGCATTTCAGGTGACGATATGTAGATATTTACAGTTTTCGGGTTGATGGGCTATCTGGTTATATGATTACTTTCACTGTATTTTATTGTTGAGTATAAACTATAACCAGATAACCTCTTAAAATGAATGGTGTTAATATATCAAAATTATATAATTTTGACTTGCGTTTAATAAATAAAATGCTGAAATTTAACTAACCTGTGCTTAAGTAAAAAAAAGTCGTTCACTGGACTTGCTGAAAAATTTTGGGAAATGTGAAATGTTCTGGTTTTTGTAAATAATTCATATTAAAAAGAGAGTCTATACTATATTTTTTAATAACTTCAAAAAAGGAGAAAGTTATCAGTTTGACAAAATATTTTTTTTCTTTCTTTTTCTTTTCTTTCTTTTTTTTAACGGAATGGAGGTACCTCAAGGGTGGTTCCATACTAATTTGATTTAGGTCCGATAATTGAATCGTGAAGAAATTAACGGCCCTCCTAAATTTTTATATGGATATGGAAGTCGGTTTTTGGCATAAAATTTACTAGTTATGTTTTTGTGCACCAAAAAAATTGTTTTTACCAAAAATTTACTTAGCACTTTTGCACCTTTAAGTAGCGATAAGTACCTTATATTGGCCAATTCCTTTAATTTTACTTCGAAGGTCGAAGGCATATAATGACGAGATTATGAAGATTTTCTACAAAATTTTACTAAAATAAATTATTGTTTTTATGAGCTTAGAAACTACTTTTATGTGCTGTATGTTTGGGTATACTTTCCTTGTATTTACTAATCCTAACTGAAAAAAAAGTTTTATAATAACAAATTCATTTCAAATGTTTGACTATAAAAATATTAATTAAAATAGAAAAAAAATGTACGACGCCTAATTATACTATTCACCAAAAGTTACTTCCTTAAAGGACTATTACAGGCAAGAAAGAGATCGCAGACAAAAAGCTGGTCTTTGGAAAATGTAACATATTTACTTACGGATTTTTAAAATATATTAATAAAGCTTAATTAAATAAACTTAACTGCAAATAAAATAGTAATAACGTAAACATCACTTTCTTGTACTCCTCTGATTTATAATTTTAGTTTTTTTACGAAGATTCATAGATACATAAGTGTATTCTTTATAACTAATAATAAATGCTTATAATTGACTACAAAATTAAAAATAAATAAATATAAAATTGTATATTCTTGTAACAGTCAGTTTGTAAGTTCATAAGTTCTAAGTTTTGTAATACGTATGTATTGAAAAATGTTCTGATTTGCTATTTTGTAAAAGCAAAGCACTACTTTAATACAAAAATAAAATAAAGGAACTTGTTAGAATATGTATGCATAAGGTAATCTTGTTGATGTCTTTTAAACAATCAAAAAAAAAGAAACAATGATCAACACATTTTTCCCGTACTCCCAGCAGGAAATTGAAGTAATAACTGCAAATATTGCTGTAGTGGTCACCACTGAAAGAAGTTAGTAGATGTGCCACTGACCGACGAGTTTTGGCTTGCTGAAGTCAGTCGTTTACCGGCTATACTCTGTTTACTCCATCGACTGAGAACATGCTAAGGGTCAGTTACTCAATGTCTGGCTAACACTAAGGGCCGGTTGCTCAAAGCCTGGTTGCCACTTATCCCCGATTAGACATCGTTATCGACGTTACCGACACCGTGTTATATGCATGGAGTCAAAAACGTCGATAACGATGTTAACCGATGATTAGTGACAACCAGGCTTTGTGCAACCGGCCCTAAATGCAGGTTAAATGTCGTAAACCTGTAACCTGTAGTTAGTATTAACCAGACATTGAGTAACCGGCCCTTAATCTATTTTATTTCTTAAATGTATGCATTAATACCGTTCGAAATGGGAAGAGACGGCACACAGTGTGGGAAATTAACTTTTTTGTGACAAAATCAATTATTTTCAGAAGGAAAAGACATAGCGAAAGAAATGTAACGGCATTTGTACGAAAAACTATACAAAAGAGGATGGATTCTGTGATAGCCCTGAATATCTTTTCATTACTTGATGACCTTGGTCGATCCGTCCGAGGCTTCTTGTTTAAATTTCTGTACTCATGCTTTCATGAGTTGAGTACTCAGTGATTTATTTAGGTGACGCAAATGATGCAGATTTAAAAAAATTGGCCACGCAGTAATTTTGAAGTACCGGCAACAAATAAATTATCCCAATAAAAAATTGCCATGTGCAATACCATTTTAGCTACCGGCAACGCAATCTAAGTTCGCCTAATCGAATCGTAAAGTTTGTAATCGACCCACAAATTTCTAAGGCCGAGGTTAGCAATAGGCATAACCCTGCGCTCCTTCTGCGTGCAATGTTTGCGCTGAAGGTGGAACAAATTAAAAAAAGACTTTTGGGTCACCCTGTAGTATACGGGGGTTTGTCTGATTTTACGATAACAATCGAAGTAAATTCAGTCATAAAAATTTAGTTATCAAAAGTTATCACGTTGACAAATTTTATCGAATCATCCATGTTTATAGTTCTCGAAATTTATCGAGTTATACTTATTTATTAAGTTATTGGAACGTTTCCAATTATTCAAATCGATCAATGTTTATTGTGCTGTCGAAATTTATAAACACAGAAAATTAGTTTCCGAACTTTACGGATAGTTATCGAGCTATAAAAATTCATAGGATTATCGAAATTTGTCAAGTTAATTAAATTTATCAAGTTATCGATATTTGTTAAATTATAATTATTTATGCAGTTAACGAAATTCATCGAGTTATCGTAATTCATGGGATTCTTGCAACTTATAGAGTTATCAATATTTATTTATTTACTAAAGTTTTACGATTTATCGAATCGAAGTTTTTGAAGTTTTCAAAATACGATATATATTATCGAAACTTCAAGGTTAATACGTATATCGATTTATCACTGCTTATCGAATTTTATCGCGTTACCAGAGTGTAACAAACTTTCTAAAAATATAGGGCTACAAAAATTTACCGAGTCAGAGAAATTCATAGAGGTATCCAAAGTTTACGGAGCTATCGATTTATAACGAGATATAAACATTTTTGAATTCTGGACATGCGTATATCGAGCCCCCGGAAACGCATAGTTATCGAAATTATTCGAGTTATAGAATTTTTTGAGGTATCGGGTTTTAACGTTTTTGAAGTTCAGTGAAATATTGATACGTTTCCAGTAAATAATTGTGTGTTCTTCCATGAAAAACAGCTTCTCATAAAAATAGAATCGCCGTTCGGAGTCGGCGTAAAACTGTAGGTCCCTCCGCTTTGTGTGACAACATCAAGGCGTACGCCACAAATAGGAGGAGAAGCTCGGCCAAACACTAACATAAGTGTATTTCGCCAGTAACTGGCGCTCATAGTAAATTATAAAATGTTTACATTTTCTTAGCTGCATCCTTTGTATGGAAGAAAATTAGTGACACCATCAGCAAAAAAAAAAAAACAATCAAAAACCAACCGGATTTTTGAGCAACTCCAATACACTAAAATTTAGTTGGCCGTAAAACTGGATTACAAATTTATTTAAGAACGACGAATTAAAAAGCTTGAAATTTTTATGAAACTTTCCTGATTTTTTTTTATAATTTTTGTACAAATTCTAAAACTTGGACTTATAAGTTGTTTGTTATAGAATTATCTTTATTTTAATAAAAAATTATAATTAAAATTAAATACTAAAAAAATAAAGTGCTGAATTTTTGATAAAATAAACAAATTAAATCAAACATCATTTTCTAATTATAATTGCAGTTTAGAGTTATGTTGGCTACAATTCAGTCAAACTGCTACATTTTTGGATACAAAAGCAATTAAGTGACATACTGTTTGTTTTTGTCGGAACCAGGCACAAAACAACGCGTGCAGAAAACTTAACTCAGACTACCTGCCGCCCATTGTACGGTTTTCATGTCACACGTGAAGTGACCAGTCAGTAGTCCAACAAGTTGTCTGCAGTTCCGTCTGCTCAATGAGAGCCAAACAACTAGTAAGACCTTTCTAGATTGAAATGAGTTTTTGCCCACCGATAGCCCTTCACTGCCTCCCAGTCTTTGCCGAGCTGATGGTTGCTTCGATGGCCGAAGGTGGAAGTGTTATATCTGGTTGCTGAGCGAGGAATACCTGATCTCAGCCAACTCTGGCCAAATGGTCCGATGTCTCATTACCAAGTACTTCCGTTTGGCCTGGAAACCGGAGTAAAGCAAGCTCGTTATGTTTGCCAACATAATTTAGTCGAGCCTTGTACTGCCGAACTAATTTGGAAGTAGTTAGAGGGCTGGCCAACGCCTAAGTGCAGAAATTGAATCGTAACATGCGTTCATGGGTCGAAAACCATACGAAAGAAACTTGTGTGATATGTGCGCCAGTCGTATAAGCTGAATGGGGAAAAGAGTACGTTCACGTATGCCATAATCCGAAACTCCTTATCCACCTATTTTCCACGACGTAGTCCACGGCCTTGAGGATTGCAAATACCTGCAGGTGGCATTTAAGGCTTCCCCACGTATGAAGACACAAAGTGACGGTAAGTGCAGCTGTGCGTCAAGAGCACCGATGTTTTAGAGAAAGCTTCAGTAAAGCACACGGCAATAGTTCTTTGAAGTTTGGCAAGCAGACTTTCCACGCTATTGATTGAAAGCCAGCTTCACTATACCACCGACGCATAGCTGATTATGGGTCTGATCATAGAGATATAAATCCAGAGGATTCTCTTTGGTGACAGACCCCAGGTTTTGCCAAAGACCTGTTTACACTGCCAAAAAGCTGCCAATACTGCTTACAATCAACT